AGGTTCTTATTGAGTTTTTGATTTATATCTATTAAATATACATACCAAATATTAGTATTCTCTTTGCTTTTAAATTCTTAAAAGACTTTTCTATTTAAGTTTCTTTTTGTTTTTTGTGAGTAGCCAAAGGTGTTATATATTGAATAGCAAAGTTGTCTTCTTTTCAATTAACTTCTTCTATATATCTTATAATGTCTTCTTCCTCTTGTACTCAAAAAACTAACTACCCATTTCCATTAATAAACTCTTTTCTCAACAAACTTGTTTTTTCTTGTATAATTTTAAGGATATTGCTTAAGTATGTATTAGTTTCGTCTTTTATTTTTCCTGAAATATTGATTGATATTGTATCTAATCTATAGGTTTCTTTTTTTTTTATAAAGTATAGATTTATTAATGATATTATATCTTTATTCCTAGTAGTATAATAGCTATATTTACTAATATATTATCTTTTGACTGTTTCTTGAAGTTTTTGTAATTCTAACTCTTTTATTTTCTGTGCATATATTATTGTTACTTTATTGTCTACTATTAATTTATTATCTATTTATTTGATAGTCTCCATTAGTTATCACTTTGGTTTAATATAGTTTTCAGAGTTCTTAATGATTTCCATGAACTTGTCTTCAATATAGGATTATAGGAGATTTTTTTTTATTCTTTTATATTATTGCAAAGATATATAATGTGCTAGGTTAAAATTTGTTTTTTGTGAAAAGTTGTCATGATTACTCTTAATATCTTAGTTATAATGTTGTTTAAAATAGTATATATTTCTAGTAATAAGATTACTGGTCTATTGGGTTTATTATTTTTTTATTATAGTAATTGTTATAAAGCCCATAAAGTAAAGTGTTCATTATATTTTCTTGAGAATTTAATTAGAATATTTACTATATTTTCTTTTCTCTTACTGACTATTTGTAATGTCTATTGTACTTTATTTATGTTTAATGACTCAAATCTATTAATAAATCATATAAATGCTTGTTTGTATTTATTAGTAATATATTTTTAGGTCACAAATAAACCTTTTTGAGATTGTTGTTGTTTGTATATTTGGATTAAATAATATAGAAAACCCTTGTTTGTTATTTTTTGATATATTTATTTATTTATGTTAATGATTCTATCTTAATTTTGAGAGCTACTGTTGTATTTATATTAAGTATCAATTAACTTGTTTAGATAACAAGTTATATATATATGTACAGTATATATTTTAATTGTTACTTTTATATATATATTTATTTTACTTGTTTACTTTTATATATTCATGTTTACTTGACAAGATAGGATATAGATATGTTGTTTATGTATACATGTATATTTAGACTGTTTTGTCTTTAGGGAGCTTTAATATCTTTCTGGACCCTTGAATAATTGAATCAACTTGATTTATCAAGTAGGCTTAGTTACTTATTGAGCTTCTTACAGTATCAAAAAAAGTATTAACCTGCATGGATCTAGTTATAAGCTATGTAAAATTGATATTGACTCCCTTTTTCTAATAGTAAATTAGTTTACAGATTTTTTTTCTTTTTTTAAAAAAAATTTTTAAGAAAAAAAATTAGTAAAGTAGTATACTGTATACCTCTTTCTTTGATATTTTTGAATAGTTTATTGTATGTATATTAAAAGTATTTGATGGCTTGATTTAAAAGAATGTTATTTTTTCTTTATATATTTAAACTAGTTCACTTTTTCCAAGAAAATTATCAAAAAAGAAAAATTTTTTAAAAAAAAGAGAATCAGTGAAAGGAGTTTTTAATAATATATATTATTAATATTTTATATATTAAGTGATAACAATAAAAAAGATTTATTAATATTTTTATTTTACAAATTTACTCAAATTAAATAATAATTTAATTATCAAATAATATAATTTTAATTAATGATATTTAAATTAAGGTAATTTATTTAACATTATTTAAAATTATATTTATAATATAAAAAATTCTATTCATATTTCTTGTAAAAATTACTTTTTAGTAATTTTTAGTTATATATAGTATATAATTTAGAATAATTATTTTAGAAAATTTTAATTTATTATAATTTAATAAAAATTTTTGCCAATATAAAAATTATTTATTTAATTTATTAATAAATTTATTATAAAATTATATTTAATTTCAAGAAAACTATTTTGAAAAATATATTATAAATTATATATATACATATTATATATGAAAATATATTTTATATTATAAAAAAAATAATAAAATATTTTTATAATATTTAAGCTATATTATTATAATTATTTTATACTTTTAATTCATAAAATTAATTTAAAAAATATTTTAATCTAATATTTATAAAATTTTATTCTTTTTAATTTAATTTTTCAATATATTTAATTAATAATTTTGATAAAAAAAATTTTTCAATTAGTAATACTATAAATCTAAAATTTATATATATTTTTTCATGATTTTATATATTAAAAAAATTTTTTTTTTGTTATTTCAATTATTTATAAAAAATTTTTATTTTTAAATTAAAATTTTTAAAATTATAATATTTGAATTTCAAAAATGCTTTAAATAAACTTATTTATTATATTATATATAAAGTTTATAATATTTAATTACCAAATTTCTTATTTATAAATAAAAATAATTAATTATTTTTTAAAAGCAAATTTTCTACTTTATATTTGATATCTTAATTAAAATATAATATGATATTATAATCATAGTTTAAAATTTAAATATAATATCAAAAATATTATTATAATTATTTATAAAAATTTGAATTCATTTATTATATTTTTATTACAAATTTTAATTTTACTAATTTTTAAATTCTTAATTATATAATCAAAAATTATAAAATTCTTATATTATTTTTTATATATTAATACTAGTTTTATTTTTTATTTTTGAGTAATTTTAATTGATTATTATTATAAATTAATTTTTTTTTTATATTTAACTGATAGACAAAGCTTTATTAAATATTGATAATAAACTTTTTATATTGATTACATGAGTAATTATATATAATTATTTTTTATTATCTAATAATATTGAATATATTAATTTTATTATATTGAGTAATATTATTTTGTTAGTTGTTTTATTCTATCTAGATTATATAATATTTCAAAGATTACTATTAAACATAATTCTTTGATTTTTTAAGAGACTTCTTATAGATCTTTATTATGTTTAATTCTTAATAAATTGGTCAAACTTTAAATAATATAAATCTTATAATTATATTTCTAATATTTCAGTGATTTAATTGTATTATACATTTGGGTAGCATATAATCTTCTATTATCTCTTTTTTAATTTCTCTTATAAGTTAGCTCTGCAGAAATTTTCTTTAATTAAGTAAGACCTTTGGGTTTTTCTATTTCTGTGATTTTTAATATAATATTAATATTAATTATCAGTTTCTGCAATTGTTATTATTTTTGGTAGTTGTTGATTTTATAATTGAAATAATTTTTTATTAATTTTATTATAGCTTATTCATTTTTAACAAGTGTAAGTAACCAAAGTCTTCCTTATCTCTCATAAAATATATTTTTAACAAGAAGTAGATTTCATCATATATTTATTTTTGAGGCTTGAACTAATTAGAGATCTTTTTTTGACTTATTTTGGTATCTTTACATATTTTAGTCAATAGGATCTTATGATTTTTTGATATCAAAACTGGTCAAAATTATATATCAAGATTATATTATAATTAAATAAGATTATATAAGTTATTTGTATACAAGTATACATATAATTGATGAACATATATTTTATATAATATAACCTATATTGCAAGAACTGTTCTTGAGTAGAATTGAACCAGTAACTCATGGATAGTGATCTGAAAATATACATATTATACTATTGACTCATAGGTCTTATTGTAAATAATATAATAATAAAACTTAAAAATTGATTAAAAAATTTTTTTTAAAAAAAAATGTAAAAAATAGAACAATTATTAAGATATAATATATATAATTTTTATAATTTTTGATTGTATAATTAAAGATTTAAAAATTAAAAAAGTTGAAATTTATAATAAAAACATAGTAAATGAAAAAATTCTAAAAACAATTATGTACATGTATATTGCAATTTATTTATATTAATAAATTGAAAAAAAAATGATGATAAATATTGATTTATTTTGATAAATCAAATTACTCTAAAATAATAAGATAATCATATAATTAAATTTCAAAAATGATCATATAATTCAATTTATCAAATATAAAATAAAAATTAAATAAATGTTAAGAATACAATATACAAAGGTCAAATTGTATATAAAATTGATAATAAATATTTAATTAAAAAAAAAAAAAAATTTTTTTTTTTTTAGTAATAAAATTAATTCAAATTCATATTTTTCAAATAAAGGTTAAGTTAATTTTTCTAATTCTAATGATAATAAAATTATCCTTAAGAATTAAACTTATTTTTTAAGGAAGACGTTTTACGCAAAGATTTTTTTCCCCACTCTGGAAGCTCCTTTGTAAGATCACCGCTCCCTTATTATACCGAATACAAAATAACATGTTAAAAAAAGCGCGTGCATAGGATTTTTGATGACAGTAATGGTTTACGGGCTATAAAGAATTACGGAAATAGTTGTCGACTTCTGTGATACATTCCTTCTTAAAAAAGAAGTTTATACCATCGTATTGCTCATTCCTCAAATAACTCAGAATACTGTATATGATATACGAAATGCATAAAACAGCTGTATTGCATACAAGTCTCGAGCATTCTCTGCTGCAAGAATTATTAAAGAAATTTAAGGGATTCACATCACATCGAACCGTTGAAAATGAATTCAGCTATAGTTTTGACGCCTGTAATATTTCTTATTCGTGGTATAGTTAAAGTTGCGCATTTCACATACAGTTGAATAGTCGAAAATTTCTTATATAAGTGAGAGCTTGGTTTGTCTCGATCTCTCAGTTCGAACTTTAGAACTTTAATTCGAATTACTATTCACAAACACGCACTCAAGAGATGAGATATTTAATCGCCTTCTTAGCCATGCTATTCTTTGCCACCTTTGTGGCATCAGTTGCGATTATTGATCCCGTCGTGCTCAATCCCAATGCGTGTGCATATGATTCTAAGGAAAAGTTGTTTTCATGGGATAGCGAGATCCTCAAAGAATATAATATTGGTAAATCAATTTATTTACAAGTAACGGTTTTATGTGAACCGAGATATTAAGGTTACTTTGTCAAATTATAATTCAGCTGATGATGATGATGTCAGACTCGTGGTGGAGAAAGAAGAAGGATTACTTGAGTTAGGAGCGGTAACTAAGCATTGTATTATATCAGCGATTCTTTTAGGCACATGCTAATTAATAACTTTTTCTTCGGAAACAGTACCCATTCAAAAGCAAACTTATTTGCTTCGATTCCTTCAAAGAAAAGTTGGTTGAATTCGAAGGGTTATATAAGGTCTATTTAACATTGGATAGTGACCATGAAAGAAAGCTGTGTGCGGTTGAATGTTCGTTTTAAAACATTATAGAAGCTATAGTTCTAATTAATCAAATTAGAATTACACTATCGAATTCCTGTCATGCATTAGTTTTAATGTTTAATCACATAATGTACACGAAAAGAATATTCAACAATAAAATTTTTGAAATGTGAACTCAGATACGATCATTCGTAGTCATCTATGATTCCATCAGACGATCCTCCGGGTAAATAAAAATATTTTTGCACAAGTTCTCTAGCTTCGGATCCATTTATTTCTAAAGATATTATCGAGACCTCTTTCCTTTATTTATGTACGGTATATACAGTATAACCTCAAAGTCGATGTAGCTTTTTCACATTGTCCTTCGCAAATCTGATCCAAGGCTAACTAATAACTAATCCTCACTTCTCGATGTTTGTAACTTCAAATGCATCCTTGCATTATAAGTTTCCCCTATTATTTTTCATATGCAGTATATTAGCATCCCCTGGACTAGACCAGGTTTAAAGGGTGACAAATTACCTAATAATGTACTATAACCCCAATCACCAAGATTTATCCATTAATTTGAAAAATCCGTTTCTCTCGCAGTTAATCTTCGCATCACCTCCGGATCAAATTCCGCTCCTTCGTTCCTCTCACTTTCGCCTACTACCTCTGCTCCATGGTTTTCCGTCGTTGTCTCAGCATCCTGTGCTGAATTATCGATTTCAAGCCTAGAATCTTCAGTGAAATTTACTCTCTGAACACTTTGCGTGAACGATGACGATGATGACGACACACCGTTCCACGATAAATTTGAAACTCGCCGCGTTGATGTTGGTGATGGACCCCTTAATGATGTCGTCAGAGAATATGACAGCGAGCTGTTTGGCCTACTTTGCCATGCCATTCCACTCGATCTCGGTATGTTTGTCATAGTGGATCCCGAATTTGCTAGACTGGGTGGCACTAACAATCTACTTCTATTTGGTTCAATGGGGCTAGTGATTCTCACAATTGAATCCTCTCTGATGATTTCTATGTGCGATGGTGACATTGATGATAGATAATTTTCACCATTCCCCGACTGTCTTGTGCTACGATGATAGATCATAAATCCCGCAATGCACAACACTAAACCCAGCACGATTCCAACGGTCACCAACACTATTATCAGCGATATGCCGCTACCTGAACTTGCCGCATCAGAGGAATTGAAAAGACTCGGATCAGTCGGAGAATTCGAATTTGATTTCGTAGATTTTTCGGAGGTCGTAGGGGAGGGGCTTTTAGATGACGACAGGACAGCGGTATTAATGTTGATGACGCCGTACATTCCTCTGGCGCAGTTATTTTGGTCAAAGTAGAAAAGTTGCTTTGGTGTGTTTTCTGGAACAGTGAAAGATTGCACTTTATTATTATCTTTTTCGGTGAAATTAACTGTTGCAGTTAAACGAAAAGATCGTTCATAAATTAAGATTGACTCCGAAGACCGAAAAATTCTTCATACGCAATCAAAAAGGCAAAAAATAACGGAACATACAGTAACGCAACTTGATAGATATCGTGCAGGATCCTTGGGCATCAGATTCAATCACTGAATATTGAATTCCATGCCACCTCCACGTTACCTTTTATCATTTGTGAAAACAGGGGTGTAGAAATACGAATGTGAAAAAAAAAAAAAAAAAAAACAAAAAACAAAACAAAAAAGGTAATATTCAAATATTTTGTCAACATAATAAAATAAGATGATCGTGTTTCTTGTTTATTACTATCAGCCATTGTGCCCAAACACAACTCGTCATATCTCTCAAAACTCCGCTACCCACCTTATCCCCGATGTTGGCGGCAACGGTCTGTGGAGTGAAAGCAAATGCGTTATTTTTTCCAACATCTATTATTATTTCTGCTGTGCTAGCATTTAACGCGAGGCTGCACAGGCTGAGGATGATCGAGAGCGAGAGAATCACCGAAATGTTTGTCTTACTCATTATATTGATAAATTTAAAAATGTTTGGTTGTATCACAAAAACATCGATCGAATAAATCGTTTTCCTTTCCACCTTCCGTCAACATTCACACAGGTGCCACGGAATCACCAATCTTTTCCTTTTCGAAATTCGAGCGCGAAATCCTCGGAAATTCAAGATGGAACTATAATGATAAAGAGCTAATTCTCTCAAAGAAAGATTTAATAATAATTACCTGTTAAGTTATTGAAGTTTCCTGGTCAAATTTAATGTGGAAAAGAGATGATCGACTGAGCTACGCGTGTTTGCATAATTGGTGTTCTAAATTCGATTTCACCCCCAATAAAGTTTGTGAACGATAAGACGATGGAGAAATGATGTGCGAAAATGGGGATTAGAATAAATCCAAGTAGTACTAATCAAAATAAACACCATTCACTTTCCGCGAAGAGGAAAACATACGTACTGTACATGTAAATAAGAGAAGGTTAATGGAGTGCACAAATATTTAGGGGCACATAAATTTTTCTTATAAATGTAGGCAAGCCAAATTGTCTAAGCTTAGCCGGTGAAAGAAAGAAAACCCGAAAACGGATTAGCACGAATGTGGTTCGCTCGTTAGAATCTTTCGATAATGCGTAATAAATCATCACTTCATGTTTACAATACGCACTAAAAGGTCAACAATTCTTTGAGCGAACTTTTCAGATACTGTAAATCGTAGAGGATAAAGATATGTGGCTTATTAGTTGGTGTGCAAATTCCGCACGTTTTTGTTTCGCAAGTCTAAGAATAGAACTCTGATGCGAAAACAATAAAATAATGTATAAATGCGGAAATATTTCGATAATGAGAATGTTTCGGATCTTAATATGATTTTCGAACTCTAACTAATTTTATTAACCGTTAGCGTCTAGTGGATGCGTGTCAGGATCGATCTGTGTTCATTACGTATCTTGTCGAATGGTAGGCGTTCTCAGAGATTCTTTGGGGTCCTATGATCACATCACCCTAAATTAATTCAAATCCGCGTTGTTTCGAGTTACAAAAGACGGCAGCACCAAAGGTCAAATCAATAAAAGTGAAATAACGTGACTTCAACCATAGAAAGTCAAGTCATGTGACTTTACCGAGTTTTTCTATAGGAAAAATAATTCTTTCGTTTTCCGAATCATCTTTCGTCAGGAATATATCGACTCTCGTCCCATCCCGAGTAGCAGTGGTGGCAACTTTAACTAACCTCATTTGCGTTCGGAAGTATCATCCCTTACCCTGGCTCTGTAATAATTCCTACATTATTATACTGTATATAAAGATTTACGACCGATTTTTCTTTATTGTTATGTTATGATACCGTAAGTAAGCGAACGCAAAAGCACGTGCTCACGAGAATACCAGGAAGAGATCATGCTATATGTGAACGCGGGAGGACGTTCCCATTTTATGTGTGATATGTTTAGCGCTAGACATTTTTTGTCAACTCGTAGATCGGTCCTCGAGTGTATTCCAGAAGGGTGTGTAAACTGGTGGCTCGGGTGGTGTAGAGTTGGAATGTTCCTTTGAGCTTCCTTTAGAAAAAACAAATATGCAAATATTTTTAATTCTGATATAGTAAATGTTACTGTAATTCCAAATTTATTATACTGTATATTGTTTAAACTTACTGTATATGCCACATAAAGTTTGTCTTTATTTAATAAATTAGAAACTCATATTTCATTTAAATTACAGAATTTGACTTTAATCAAGTCAAGTCCCGTTTCAATATCTGTATTATTATTTTATATAAAATCTCAAAACCCAATCTTGTATAAACTCATATAGACTTGTGCATAATCCAAAGTATTATGATCGCCTATACAATAAATTGCAAAAAAAAAATTGCAAAGTTGCTAATAACATAATTTTAATTTTTTTTTGAAACATGCTTAAGCCCACTTTATTGATTTTTCTTGTAGTACATGTACTTGAATTTACAAAGTCATTTTATAAACTATTTTTCTATATATCTATTATGAGATTTTACAAAAAAGTCAATTGTAAGAAACTTATTCTTGTGACTTGTTGCTCCCCCTTTGGAAAAGTATTAGCATGCCTAAACTTCATTAGCATGTTTTAGTAAAGAGATAAAAAATATTGTGGATACCTATAAGGAATATTGTGAAGAGGCTATTGAATATAGTATATTTAAATTCATGATTATGATATTACTGATCATCTCTCTATTTTTGTATTATTTTTAGTTTTTTTTTAATTATAATGATACTCTGCTTGGCTTCTCATACAGTATATAAAATCTGAAGCATATATTATTCCAGACACTGAAAACAATAATTTTATTCTATTTATAATATTTTTAATGGTTTTACTTATTTTACTAATTTTAAAATATTGTGTGATAAATAAGATTATACTTTTGCAAATTAATTTTCAAATGATAATGGTCTATATATTCTTGTTGTTTATAATATCTATTATATCTTATTAAATATTATACCTGAAATTACAATCTCTTTATATGTTATGTCTACTATTATTTTTTTGATGTTTAATCCATAGGTGAAACATTTAAAGTGATAAAAATTGTCTTTAATATTAAACTTTATAAAGTTCTAATTGTTTTATATATAGTTTATCTATAGTAGAAAGTTCTAGATTTTAGAGTTTGATCAAGAATATTTGAATCTTTATATTTATATAATCAGTAAAATTATCAAATATTTTAGAGAGGTAAAATTGTTCAATATTTTTTTTCAATTGATTTTATTTTTTATTTATATAATTGATCATATATTTTAATTAAATTTAATCCATCTACAGTATATGTTTACTTGACTTAGCTTATAATTTTCAATATTTTTCATATATTCTTAATAATTTCAAGATTCTTTAACTTGAAAATAATAAGATTATTTTTCAAATTGTATTTTATTAAGATATTCATAAATATAGATAATATCTGTTTTATAAGTTTTTTTTTATTTTGTTTACTTTAGTAAATAGTTTATTGTTGTCTTCTTTTTTGATATAATCCTATTGGTGTTAATGTTATTATTATATAATATTTGTTCTAAACTTGTTATTAACCTTATTTCACTGGTTTTTTTTATTTATTTTAATTATATTTATTTGATATTTTGCATAAAATTGGTAAGTCTATATTAATAAAGATGCAAGTTTTTTTTTTACAGAGCTCTATAGAAATTGTAATTATAATGATTTCATATTTTTTTAGTTACATGTTCTTTAATAATTAGTCTGAATTCAATTAATTTATTTGTTTAAATAATAATTATTATATTAATTTTTCATTGTTCTAATTGATAATTGAGATCTTATACTTTATTTTATTTTATTTTTTTAACCTGCAGTTAGGTTAGTATGATATATTTTTATTATATATATAAAAAGATATTTACAAGATATTTTAACTTTTATATACTAATTTATTTATTATCAAAAATTGATTTTCTAGATATAACTTAAGAAATGATATTTTTAAGTTAGTTAATATTAAAAAAAAAGTTTTTTCTCAAAATTTATTGATTTGTAGCTTGATAAATATTATCAAATTTTAAATAAAATTTATAAGTTCAATATTTATTCTAGAGTTTTAGTTCTTATATTATTAATAGTTATTATAATAATTCAAAAAAAATTCTAGAGAGTGTTCAAGTTTATTTGTTAACTTTTTCATAATAATCTTATAATAGTTCTTAAGTTAAAGATATCAACTATTGAATTTTCTTTAATTTATATATTGCATTTAGTAGTAGTTATTCTTTTTAAAAAAAATTGAAAATAGTTTATGACTACAATATTTTCAAGTCTCTTTTAAACTTTTACTAAGTTTTTCTTTAATTTGAATACTATAATATTTATTTAAAGATAATATTTTAATAATTTGCAAAATATTATTTTGAAATACAATATTATAAAAATTCAAATTATTTACAATTAATAATTAAGATTATGCTTTTAATTTTCTTAAGCAGTAAAAAGTACTATTACAAGTTTAAAAGTTTTATTTTCTTGCATTTCTATAGATTGTAGTAAAATCTTTTTTGTTTTCAATTAAATTTCTTTTTAGAATTCTAATAGTTTAAGTTTTTTTTTAACTTTTTTTTTTATAAAATAAAATAATAGTTATACTCTTTGATCAATATAAACCTTTCACTAGTCAAAAAAAATTATTCAGTATATTGTCACTCATATAATATTTGATAAAATAATATTTTTCTTGTTTACTTAATCTATTCTTTCTTGTTTGATCTTTTCTTTTTCTCTTGTTCATTTGTTTTTTTTTTATCTTATTTATTTGTTTCTTTTTTATCTTACCTATTGTTTCTTTTTTTCATATTCATTCAATTTATTCTTTCTTGTTTAAATCTTTCTTTTTCTAAAAAAATATAAAAAATTACATAATGCATATTATTAAATTTTAAACTAAAGCCAATAAAATTGTAGTATATTTAATATATCTGGGTAGTGATTATTTATTGAATAACAATTTTCTTGAATACTATTGGATATTATTTAAGGAGAGGTATTTTAGGAGAGTATTATATACAGTGGTTTATAATTGTAATATAAATTTGAATAGCTTACAAAATTTTAGAAATATTTTATTGATTATTATTTCTTGTATTTATATTTTGTTCTGATTTGAAAATTTAATAAAACAAGATTGAGTTACCATTTCAAAAAAAAAAAAATATATTTTCTATAATTGTATTTTAAAAATATTTTATAAAATAGTTATACAATATTTTAATTTAATAGTTGATATAAGATAATAAAAAGAAAAGAATAATTATGGATAATTTGTATTTGATAATACTATACTAGTTATTTATAGAAATTTTATTTATTAAGATTGTTTAGAATTCATTAAACAAGTAAATTAATTTTTTATAACAAATGTTTAAGTTTTTTTTTTTTTTTTTGGTAAAAGGTGCTAATAACACATGTTTATTAAGTAATTTTATATCAATTACATAACTATAATAGTTCATCTAAGTTAACCACCATAGCCTTACCCGGATATACCAATTTATACCCAAAAGGTGGATCCACATTCCAAGTTGGATCTTTAGGAGATGAAAATCCTACCACTAGTTTTAAACCACTTAACCTAATCTAGATCCTAGCAATTTACCCCTTATTAAGGACCCACGCTAACCTTCTATACCTTACCACCTCTTAATCACATCTTTGGCTTATACAGCTGCAAATGGATTTTAGTGCATCTATGCACTACCTAGTCAATGCTTTGAGAACTTCATCCAATGGTTGGCATACACTACCAAACCTAGGGGTTATTCATCAATTGGGACGCGACTCCTTAATCTCCTAGTAAACTTATTCATCAGGTTCTCAATTGATATTAGTTGCCAAGTTTAAGAGTTATTCACCAAGCAGAACGCAACTCCTACATCAGGATAGCACTAGTGATTTGCTGACATCACACGTTAATGTTCATATCGATGATCCCTGAGGGAGCTTAGTGCTTTGTATTAATGATCTTGGCAATCATCATGCTCCTACTGGATGATCATCACGCCACTATGCCTTTTCTGGAGATCACAATCCCAATGCCCACTGAACCAGCATATAAAATGACTTTTTATGGAAAATAGCACTTTACAGGTTATGGCACCAGATATCCTATTAATTCTATTCAACTGTCTTCACTTAAAGTTGAACTAATATCTTGTGATCTGATCTGTGAAGCACTAACTACTGTGCTATAGACCCACAGGTCTAAGTTTATTTTTGTAATGATAATATTGTTGTTAATTTTTATAATAGTAATTTTAAAAGCTTGTTTATATTGAGGGGGTTTTTTTTTAACCTGTAGTCAAGTCAGCATGACATGTCTTTATTATATATATGATAGGTATTTATAAATTTTTGTGACTTTCATATACTGACTCACCCATCGTTGAAAAATTATTTCTCTAAATGTAATCTAGGGAATGATATTTCACTCTTTTACTAATTTGAAATATTTCCACTAATTAATAAATTTATTGCTTTACAGGTCATTACTATAAATTATTCTAAGTTCTGTCTGCAGTTAAAAACCAAACCACTTTATTTCATGACAGATCCAATCCTTAATAATTGCCATATACTTCTTTTCTTCTATTTCTTTGATACCTTCTAGGCTTGAATCCTTTGAAGATAACAACACTTTTTTTTGTTCCTGTTCAGTCAGTTCGTCAGGATAGACTTGGACCTCTTGTTTCTTTTGTACTTTTC